AATGGCCGGGTAGTGTGTTTGACGGTGTAAATGGTGTTAAATTGACTTTTGATGCTTTCGGACGCGTTTGCTGGCGAAACACGGGCGCCTGTTGCTGCTGCTGTTGTTGTGGATGCTGGAGTTCGTGTTGTGGCGCAAATACCGGCAGTTGTTGTTGCTGGTGCATTGCGTTGTGGCGAATCGTCTTCTGTCGCGGCGGATGTGGCTGCGGATGCTCGTACGGCAGCTGTTGCACCGCTGGCGGCTTTGTGGGCGGGAAATGCTGTACCGTTTTGTGCTGTGAATTATTTACAACATAATTAATTTAATTTTCTCGTTAGTTTACGGACAAATATGCCTTAAGCACCATTGATGCATTGTTCCTTGCCTTGACGCAATCCTCCTCCCCGCTATCCAACTTACCTTATGCTTTATGATGGGCGCCACAGTGGGGCCCGGTGGTCCGGGTGGCAATAAGTGCAACACGGGCACTTTACTGCTCTTCGTATTGATGAGTGCTTGCGAGAGTGGTGGTGGGCTGTGTTGTGGCATGGCTGTCGGCGGCGGTGATGGTGGTCCTGCGGCGGAGTATGCCAACTCATGATAGACATCGCCGGCACTTGGAATGTAGTGTTGTTGCGGCGCTGGTGCATATGTCAAGTCGCTGTCGCTGAGGGTGCCAGGCGGTGGTGCGCGTAAATTCATGTACTCCTGCGGCAAAGGTATGTGTCCACTGGCCGGTGGCAGAGGTCCTTCCACCGTCATCGGTTTCGTATATTTGCTGCTGTGTGGTAGCGCACCCTTCGGCTGCGAGAAATAACCAGAAATGACTTGGTTTAATTTTGAATAATTGTGTGTGTAGTATATATATTTGAGGTTATGAGTATTAAATTTTCAAATTCATACTTTTAAGGTGAAAGGCGCGAGCAGACCTTCAATATCAATTAGTAATTTAGTAAAGGGTTATGTAGCCGAGTTAAGTGTTCAGACCAGTGTCCGAAGTTTCATACTCGTTCTAAAACATTCTCTCTTTTTCTATCTTTCTCTCCCAACCTTTCCCTCTCTCTATTTCTCTCTCCCTCTCTATATCTATGTCTCCCTCCCTCAATCTCACTCTCTCTCCCTCTCTCTCTCTCCGACTTTACTCAGCAAAAGCAGGTAACTATTTATTATTGGATGCATTATTTTTTAAGTATATTTGCAAGTTCTTTCCTACCGGCAGTCACAGGGTATTAATATCGTATTTTCGAAAGCTCTCTCTTCTCTGAACATCGTTTTTAACCTCTTTTTCATTCCTTTATTATTTCTTTCGCAAGTATATTCTATTAAGAATTTCGTTCTTTCTTTCCTGGAGTTACAGGGTATTAAATTTGTGTGTTTAAAAACTACACATATTTCTTATATGATGTTAAAAGCTTTCCAAAATTATGTATATTAAAATTATAATATTTTTAGAGAAATGTAGAGAATATGTCGCCTATACTTGTCTTTCAAACTCAAGTTAAGTAATATAGTTCTAAATGTGATAGATTGAGGTAACTATGTATATTCTCAATAATAATAAAAGCATGTATGATAACGTGAGCTTTTTGGGTTCTTTGTGTTGGTCTGATATCTCTAGAATACGAATATTTTGGGGAATGAAAACGTTTGTTCGTATTGTTAGTCTGTAATTTTCCATGATCTCATACATACAAGGTGCGTTCCAAAGTAAACAGGACTTTTTGAACCTAGCGCCAAAGCCACCTATATGTCGAGTGGTGCTTAATCGATTGTCCAGTGAGAACTTTGTGACATTTCATCAATTGGATTATTGCGTTTTAAGTGTCAGTATGTTTGTGTTATCGGTGCGAAAATGAGCTTCGAACAGAGAGCCAACATTAAATTTTGTTTTAAAATTGATAAAACTTTTACCGAAACGTTTCAATTGATAAAACAAGTTTGTGACGATTATTGCCTATACCGTAGCAGAGTGCAGACGTGATTTCAACGCTTTCAAAGTAGTCGTGGGGACATAAATGACGATCAACATGTGGGCCAATTAAAATCAGTAATCACCGGAAATTCCATCGAAACTGTGCGTCATCGAAAATCAGCCGAAATCATCCTTGAAATTCATGGAAATGGAATTGAACATCTCCAAAACATTGCTTTATGCCATTTTGATTGAACATTTGGGCTTACGAAAAGTGTGTGCACGGTTTGTTCCGCACAAATTGACTGACTACCCAAAATTGCTCAGAAGCCAACATTCGAAGGACGATTGTTTGACCAAAAATCACATTTTAACCATTAACCTCTCCCCGTATTCATCTGGTATGGCACCGTGCTACTTATTTCTTTTCGAAATGCATTTTCCCATGAAATGGCAGACGTAGGGGCCAATCAAAACGCCTGTACCGGCATACTGGCGGCCATACCGGTCAACGAGCTAAAACACTCGTTCGACATTCTTTTGGACCATGCAAAAAGCTGAATTGAAGCAGAAGGAGACTATTTTGAGTTAAACAAATTGATTTTGCCGAAGAAACCATTTGTTCTGTCCTGTTTACTTTGTGTCTATGAATTTGAAATACAAATTTTTAACTCAAAATTTTATTTCGACTTATGCAAGTAGTCGGAATCTAAATGCGCTTCCTTACCACACTGCCTTCGTAATCTTTGAACTTCTTCAAAAACCGCTACATAAAATCAAAATCAATGTATTTTTACTTACACCTTGAATCGCATATTGTTGATTGATCGGAAAATCCGGCGCCAAGTAGAAAGCCATGTAGGGTATCAAACGACGATTACGCTCGGAAGCGCTTAACACCGAGTCACTGACCAGCGTACCATTATTCCTATCAAGCAGAAGCTCTTCTTGTAGTAACGGCTTTGTGATGTTGGCAATTTTCGGCACTGGTGTGACTTGTATGCAGTGGCTGTGCTCAAAAAACGCTGTGGAAAAAAAAGAAAAAAAATAGTATTGTAGTTATTTTATACTATACATATATGTAGTAGAAAATAGTGTTATATATTTTGCATATGTTTCGAACATAGGCACTATGATTCAGACCACATTCATTTGTTTTTTCAAATGTTCATTCGTTTCAAATCGAAAAAGTCCGACTTTTATAAATTTGAAACCTTTTAAAAGTTAAAAATAAAACTCCTTGCTTTTAAGCTAGCGATTCGGAGATTGATATGGGACCACTAGATTTTTGCATCCTTAGTGCCATTAATAAAACACATACCGTACGGTCAGTGTTTTTTCGCTATTTCCATCATTTGATACCAAGAGCTCCATACCATATTGAAGACTTCTGTCTTTGTGCGTCGAGAGTACCTTGTACTTTTCAATTGCCTACTCACTTCAAAGTAGCACCTTTTGGCAAGAGTTTTCGAGCTTGACTTTTTTGTTGCTGTTAATGTTGGTTACAACATACTATAACAGCGGGGTTGTTGAGGCCAATGATGTCAATAACATCGGCGTACGCTAGCAGCTGTAACTCTTATAGAAGATTATACGTTCTCGATTAAGATCTGCAGCTCGAATTATTTTCTCCAGCAGTATATTGAAAAAGGCTCACGATCTTGTCTGAAACCTCGTTTGGTATCGAACGGCTCGGAGAGATCCTTCCCGATCCTGACGGAGCTTTTGGTATTGTTTAACGTCAGTTTACATTGGCGTATTTGTTTTGCGGGGATACCTAGTTCAGACATAGCGGCCTAAAAATATTTCCTTTTCGTGCTGCCTAAGGCGGCTTTAAAATCGACAAAGAGGTGGTGTGTTTCTATCTTCCTTCTTTGGGTCCAAGATTTAACATGGCGCATGGGGAAAATCTGCTAGATACTCGATTTTTCAGGTCTAAAGCCACATTGATAAGGTCCACGCTTCAATCTTTCGCACACTAAGCTCAATAATACCTTATATACTATATTAAGAAGGTTTACTCGAGGGTAGTGAATGCAGATTAAGAAGTTTTGCTTTTTGTGGATGGGCAGAGCACACTTAGGTTTCAATCGTCGGGCACGCTTTTATCCGACCATATCAAGCCAATGTATGCTCATTATCAGTTCTTTGCCGCCGCATTTGATTAGCTCGACTGGTAATACATCGGCCCCTCCGCTTTTTTGTTCTTCAGGCGGGTAATAGGTGTTCGAACCTGATCAGATATATATGGCGACTAGCGATAGTACAGTATCCACTAGTCAACCAGTCAACAAAATTTAGGTTCTACAAGGTCATCGGTTACTTATCAACAACTGAGTAATCAATCGAAATTTGTATGTTTATTATGCTTGGTTCAATCCCTTGTTATAGGCAAAAGAAATGTTCAATTGACACAGCTTTTTTTAATATCAGTTTTTTTGGTTTTTCCTCAAGAAGCTGTTCACGAGTCGCCTAACACAATTGGATTGTTAGAATTTCAACATTGCTATCAAAAACAAGTTAGTTTAGAAATCTTGGGCGTACATAGAAATATCTGCAATGAAGTAATTATTAATTAATTATTTATTAAGTGGTATACAAATGTTGGATAGTCCTGGTTTATCCTGTTGTAATGATTTGAAAATCGACTTAGAATTTTCATAAAGCCGTTCTTTCAAAACTTTAAACAATTGAACTTGAGTTATGATTTTGATTTATTCATTTACTAGTTTAAAACCGACAGTAGGAGTTGCTAATGGCCACCTTTGCATGAACTTGTTTAGGGTACTTTCTGAAATCCTTTATATTTTGTGCTAATTTTATTAAAATAATATATATCCTATCGAAATATATAATATATGTGTTGTATTTGTATACGTAAATACATATATGCACATACGTATATATATATACATATATATTGTTTATTCGAATTGCTTTCGTTCATTGCATTTCCGGTTTGAATATTTTTCAAAACAAAACATGAAAATAAAGACGAATAAATTACAGAGAAAAAGTAACGAAAATAAAATGATAACTGGCTGGAACTCTTTTCTCAATAGCTTCTTTTCCAAAATTGTCAAAATTTAATTGAAAGGAGATTAAATTTTATATATATATATTTTTTTAAATAAAAATTCTTTGAAATCAATAAAAGTTTGCATAAACATTATTTTGGTCTACTCTTTCGAGTGCAAATTCAAATCATCAGAGTACCATCTTCAGATGCAATTAGACAAAATTTCAACATTATAAAAATCCAACAATTATGTCAAAATTTTCGACAACCTCCAATCGCCAACTGAACACGCGCAGCTCCGACATCGATGCCCTGGCCCAGCGTGGCTATAATATCGGACACAAAATTGGCGAGGGTTCCTATGCGACCGTTATCACAGCTGGCTATGCCGATGATGCGGGTCATGGTGTACATTTGGCCTGCAAAATCATTGATAAGGCCAAGGCACCCTCGGATTTCGTACACAAATTCTTTCCACGTGAATTGGAAATTCTAACAAAAATTGATCACCCAAACATCATACAGATACACAGTATACTACAGCGTGGACCGAAAATCTTCATCTTCATGCGTTACGCGGAGAATGGTGATCTGTTGAGTCATATCAAGAAATCGGGACCGGTTGAGGAGTTGCAAGCGAAAGCCTGGTTCATGCAAATGGCGAAAGCGCTCAAGTATCTGCATTCGCACGATATCGCGCACCGCGACTTGAAATGCGAGAACATCTTGCTTTCGAAACGTCTCAATATCAAATTGGCAGACTTCGGCTTTGCACGCTATTGCTGCGACGATAGTGGACGCGAAATCAAATCGGAAACCTATTGCGGTTCTGCGGCCTATGCCGCGCCCGAAGTCGTATGCGGTCGACCATACGATCCGAAATTGGCCGACGCCTGGTCACTTGGCGTTATACTATTCATAATGTTGAATGCGAAAATGCCATTCGACGATAGCAATCTCAGCAAGTTGCTGGACGATCAGCGTAATAAGAAGTTCGCATTTCGACGGAAATTACAAGATCACATTTCGGCGCAGGCCAAGGCCACCGTGGCGGTACTATTGGAGCCGGAACCGCATGCGCGTTGGAATTTACGTGAAATATTGAATTGCAGCTGGTTGCGTGCCGACGAGGAGGAACCGTTGGCTTAGTCCTAAGACGAACACACTTACGTCAAACATCATGCGACAGTTTGAGCAGCATGTCTGATTGGTTTTGGACCTGAAGCCGTTGAATTTTTGTATGGGAAAAAAAGTAATTCTTCATATCTATATATATATTTATTTGATTTGCGCATGTAAAATGTTGGTCATTCGTGAAATTTGCCCTCTAAACACACTGTAAAGCTTGTTTTCATAACAATTTTGGTTCTGAAATTATTATATATATATACATGCATGTATATATATTGGGCATATGTGTATTATATATGTATATATATAATACATTTATGCTGTATTTTTTCGGTTTTTAAATTTCTTAAATCCCCACCGCCGCCTCCTCAACTAAATGATTTGATTTCAAACGATTGCATTCGAATGTCATAATTTTCTTCAATTTTTTATAAACACAATATTTAATTTTACGTTTTTTTTTTTAAATTGGTCACAAATAGATTTGTCTGGTCGTGGACCAAGACCAGTATCGAATTTAGATTGATTTGTCGTACATACGCAGGAGTATGATGTCTTTGTCGGCGTCGTCTCCAACCTATAAAAAAGCCCAAAAATTTGATGATGTGCTTTAGAGCAATATTATTTCCAAATACTACTCTTAGTTATGTGTGTCACAAAATATATTAAGTTAGAACAAAAAAAAAATTATTAATTATAATAAATTGTAATTGTAAATTTTCAAAAAAGTGCTTGTCCGTTTGTCTATCACTACGAAAAACAAAAGTGTGTGTTTTGAAATTTTATTTCCTTGAGTAAAGGCGAAAATCTGATGCTTTTTGCGGATTTGTCTAGTGGTTGGTATTTTTTTTTTTGGTTACGCATGTGCTGTGGAACAAGTGGATCGTGTTCAGGTTTTGTGGATTAAGTGGAACGCATTCAGTTTTTGATGTTACTTTTTGTTCTACATGAAGAAAATGGACTGTATACAAAAAAAAACTACGTTTGGTACAAAACACATTTGGATCGAAGTCTTTGGCCGCCTCTACAAATCTGTTGGTCCCTATTAGCTCTATCTGTTAATGGTAAATTCTTCTGCCAATATCAGAATTAGTAAAAATGTGCATAAGAACGACTATTCTAATTATTGGAAGATCAGCGTTACGACTATCGCAAGTAATCTTTAGATAATCGGGTCTACGTTTTTAAAGGAAGTAGAGAAGAGGGAGAATAAAATTACGCGAGGAATCTTCTCTGTCGCTTAAACAACTCACGGAGAGAAGTGAAAAAGAAACAATCCTATCGTGGTTATTCAATAGAGAAAAAACTTAGTATCTTAATACAGAAATAATCATTTATTTTACAACAAAAATCGGATTTAATGAACATTTTACATTAAGTCTCGAAAGCGAACTGATTATTTTGTCTCAAAATCTTATATTTAGAGTTTAATATTTAATGTACAAGTATTTCATCGAACCCTTATCGAAAAAATATTGCGTGTCCATAGAATATGTTTCTTTATATAGTAGAATGGTTTTCCCAGGTGTTTAATACTTAAAAAAAAATTATTGTTACTTGAAAAAAGTAATTGAAACAAAAAAGAAATATTCAGTTGGACTAAAAAACATCATCAGTATGTTGCCTTTTATATTTTGGAATTTGGCAACACTATATTTTGGCAACACACAAAAAATTTGAAATTTTTGATGGTACCCAGAAAGAAAGTTGGTGAATGTTTGATTCATCATTATCAGGTTAGATTAGACAGATGTTTGTCTTTTCTTTTACCCTTTAGGCCCTAAGAGTGACAGTTGAGCGTACCATAAATGTATTAAGGCGGTTAATATCGATCGCAGCCACTTCGCTAGGTTCGCAGAAGATGTGGCTATCGAGATATTTCAAGCTCAATCTGTCAAATGCCGGCCAATAGAAGAGAAACTGACAAGATAGTCGCACCTCACCTTCCTCCATATGGTTTTGGCAAAAAGCGTCCGAAAAAGAATGTAGTCGCACCGCATATGAATCTATTAGACCGTGTCCAATCATAACACCTACTACAATTGCGGCGATATTGATTTTGCAAGACAAAACAGTTCGGGGAACTTCTTATGGTTTATTTTGGTCGGGAATAATATCAAAAGTTATTGTTGTTGGCCAGCGTTTGTCGAGTTCGCTGGAGGTCTATAGGAATTGGTTACTGGTGATAAATGTGATTAAATCCTGGTGAATCGACATATATTGTGGTAAACCCAGAATTGGCGGTCATTAGTAATTAGTAGAAAATCAGCCACTATGATACAGAACTATACTATCAACAATTGGACCGTCTGAAAGAAGCAATCGCCCAAAAGTGGGTATCTTTGGAGAATAAGATAGCAGCGCAGACTTGCAGAAGCTCGGAGAGCTTGTTTGTGAGGGTGTTATGTATCTACCTCGAATTGATTACTACCTGTTCCGGTCTATGGCGAATGATATTCTTCTTCTTCTTTACTGGGGTAGACACCGCTTACGCGAATATAGCCGAGTTAACAACGGTGCGCCAGTCGCTTCTTTTCGCTTCGTGGCGCCAATTAGATATTCCAAGCAAAGCCAGGTCCTTCTCTACTTAGTCCTTCCAACGGAGTGGAGCTCCTCCTCTTCCTCTGCTTCCCCCGGCGGGTACCGCGTCGAATACTTTCAGAGCTGGAGTATTTTCGTCCATCCGGACAACATGACCTAGCCTATGGCGAACAATATTGCTGCTCAAAGAGTCCCCTTTCCCTTTAGAGAAGTTTGTAAAGTTCGTACATACGTGAACTAGTCGCTCAGTTTTTGAGATGTTTATCTGAAATTTTGAAATTTATATCGGACCCCTATAACATATAGCTGCTAAACAAACTGAACGATCAGAATCAAGTGCTTGTATGGAATACTTCTTTTATTTTGCCAGATGATTTCACGACATTTTGTTCGGGCTATTTTCAACAGCAGTAGTGCAATCTGCGAAGAATTTGTTCGGATTATTATGACATACAGCTACTATACAAACTGGCACATTAAAATCGTGTAAATTTTTTTTCAATATCAATATAAAGATTCTGGAAGAACAAAGATGGTAGAGAACACTCCAGCTTTGAAGGCTTCCGATACAGTACCCGCCGGTGAAAGTAGAGGAAGAGCTCCATTCCGTTGGGCGAAAGGAAAAAACTACTAGAACGCTCTTGTTACCTCGGCTATAACCGCGTAGAGGTGTCTTTAGTACAGCAGAAGTTAACGTCTTGTCTTGTGTTCTTTACAATAGCAATCGGTAATAAATAAATAAAAATTATTCGTACGTATTTACACCAGTCTAAATAGTTTATGTGAGATCGAGACTCATTATAACTGTTGCAAGATAGATTACAGATTTTATGAAGTTCCTTGTATAAACCCACCTTGGACCACTCGTCCAAAATGCCAAAAATATATATCTAAAATATTTCTGTTTCACTCTTCAAATTAAAAACTGTTATTTGTTAGCCTTTGGCTTGCAATCAGCACTTGCATTTATTAGAGGCAAATTACAAATACTATACGAGTCCATAATTATCACGTGCTCGCCTCCACCGAATGCATTAAATGTCTAATTTTATTGTCCAAATGAACGATTGTAGCATTTGCTCTTAAAACGTCACAAGTAATTGCGGTAAACACATATACACGCGCTAGTATATGTATACTCTTACATATATATGGTTGTACTAGAAGACATGACATGACAAGCTTTAGGCACGAAGCCGCTGTCAAGCAGGGGCTAGTAGCCAGGCAACAAGGAGCGCTGACGAATGCACATTTATATGTATGTATAACTGTGTGTGAGTGTGTGTGTGCTTGTGATGGCAGCAAATTTAATTAGTGGCACCAACAGCTCCGACAACCAAACAGAATAACTATAAAAGCGAAGATAATTAATGCCGCAAATGCATTGCGAGACAAAAGCAAATAACTACGAAAATAAATACATAAATAATAGACAATAGCAACAAAAATAATAATTTTCAAAAATATAGAAACTAAAAATATTCGAACAATGCAAGTTACATAAAACTGAACCGAACTGCCTGTCTATATTTATATTGGGTGTCTGCCTATATGGTATATATATGTATGTACCATATATACACACATATACATATCACTTTATCAAAAAATACTTAAAAGGTTATAAATTTTATTATGCCACTGTTTTGTGGCTGTCCGAAAAAATAACGCTGCGACGCGTGATGTGTGGAATGTCAGGATAGCCCGCCAGCTTTCAATGGTCTATGGGTGAAGCCTCTTTAACTTTCGCATGTCGGTCGGAGTTTTGGTGCAACACACTGTTTTGCCACATACTTGGTGGCAATGCAGCGCGATAACATGCCGCATGCATATGCGGTAATCTCAACCAAGTGAAGTTGCAACAAGTGCGCAATACAACTGTAGTCTAAGGTATGGTAATGTATCTATGTTCATACATGGTATGGAAAGTATAGTGGTGACCAAAAGGAAAATACCTAAGCGGAAAATGGTCACCTAAAGTTGGTTTCGAAAATTAAAAACTCAAATTGTGTCTTTTAGAATGTGAATATGTGAAAAAATAAAACATTTTCCCCACTTTTTTTAAAGAAAAAACACAGAAACTTTAAATTTATCAGGGAATGTTTATTATCAGTCGAAAGATCATTCTTTAGAATTTATTTTTTTAAGATAATCTTCTACAAATGTTGGCCGCGGCTAGTCTTAAATGGTCCATCCGTTGAGTCCACTTTTCGATGACTCTTAAATCATTTCGATTCGTTACTGGTGAAGGACACGAGTGATGTTTTGCTCCAAGGCCTGAATCGAAACGGGATTCTTCGCATAGACTTTAGGCTTTACACATACACATAAAAGAAGTCTAACGGTGTGACATCACACGATTGGCCACCAATCGACCAACCCAAAATGTGAAATTATTTGCTCACCGAAGTGTTCTATCAAGAAATCCATTGTTTGATGCGATGTATACGAATTGGATCACGAGCTTCACTTTCAGGCATCAAATCGTCAGTTACTATGGCACCATAACGGTGGCATTGACCCAGAAATGAACAGCAATGTAGTCCACATTTGGCTCGAAAACATCGCATCTTCATAGGACTTTTCAAGAGCCCATAGGTCGAAGCAATATCGCTGTATTTTGTACGATTTCAATTTAATTTGCCAAGTTCTTCCATACTCTCCACGGTCTTCGTTTACACTGTTAGTTACGGCTGCTATATTTTCTTCACTGCGCAATGTATGTGCTTTATTCGGTCGAATATTATAAAATAATTGATGTTGGGTCGCAAGATGAGTGATCGTGTTTCCAATAATGCGCTCAGTAGGCCGATTATGTTGACCATAAGTTGAGCGAAGCGGGCGAAACACATTCTTTACTGAACGTGACTCTTTATAATGAAGTTGAACGATTTGTAAACGTTGTTCAGAAGTAAGTTTTCCACGATGAAATGCTAAACAATACTGAACAAAAGTAACATGACAACTTGTCAAAAAAAAAAAAAGCTATTGAAAGAAAATGAGCTCCTTTTGAGCTAATGCAAGCCTGACAATGCTTATTCGAATTCTCTAACTCGCCTTCAGTGCTTTCAGCAAATAAATTTAATGGCTGCAATGAACACAGGGAACCAAATCTGGCGAATGCGATGGCTAAGCGATGACTCACGTGTCGTTTTTGGCCCGGAAGGATTTTGTGCAAAAT